ATTTATTTATTTTTTTTATCTATTTATGAATAAAAAAGTATATTTTATATATTTGAATCCTTCCAGTTTTAGCGGGTTCAGTTGAATTACGATTAATTTTATCGTCAGTTGGCCGCTAATCGAACAATGTTTTAAATAGCTGAAGTAAGCTTAGTCTGATTTGTATGATTGAAAATTTTCGCTTTTTGATTTATCTTCCATGAGATTCTGCAGCAATAGATACCTTCACTACTAGTGGTTAAATATGCGATATGTATGCGAGGATCCCGTTTTGTTGCATTTTTTACTGGCATAAAACCATAATCTGATCGTATAATATTCTTCTGAGAATCAAAATAAGTATGCCTGAAATCATTTATGATATTTTAAAGCATAAAATAATCTACACAACCCAAAAAATAACACCGAAGACAGTTTTGCAGTACATATCAATTTCTTTTAATATGATTTCAATTCAAACGATGTTTATAAGCTGTAGTTTATTAGTCATTATATGTAAACAATTCATTATTAATATTATTGCATACAAATATACACGCTAATTTATCGAATTATGTGCCATACAAATATTTTTTTTCAACTAATATATATACATACATAAATTTTGATGTAAATAATTTACAGATATGTAACAAAGTGACTATTTTCTTTTTTTTAGGAATTTTTTATATGGAAGGCAAATGCATACATACACATCTAAAAGTGCTACTTGGATAAAAATTGATAGCATACTTATCTTAACATTCTGTATAAAAAAATACAGATATCACATACTGCTGTTTATTTCTGCACGGTACTAAATGTTGTTTAATAAATAAGTCGCATTTTCTGCGTACATATTTATTAAATATACTTACTGACAATTTATCATCAATGCGTCTGGAATCAAGGAAAACTCGAATTTGCACGATAAAGTTGAAACGTAGAAATTCAACTTCATTAAAGACTATCGATTGACGAAGTTGAATTTAATTATTTACGATGAATTTTGATTAAATTTTTTTTGTAACGTATTTATTGCTTGTAGAAAAAGATCAATAATTTTATTACAAAATTGCTTCCTTTTAAATGATTTCATCTTCACAGATTTCGTTTTTCACTATTGAGAGCTAACAATTCTTAATCGTAAAGGAGAATGGGACTAGTCCTATCGGAGTAACCTTTAGTAAATAAAAAAAGGAATTAACAAAAGGTGGCTATGAAGAAGATCTAAAGTAATTTTAATGAAACATTGAAATTTTATTCCTCAGTTAAATAGAAGTACAATTAAGGTAGCTTTGTCACAACACCGCTCAGCTCTAGTAAAATTTCTACATAGTACTGTCTATGAATCTCTACAAAAGAATAAAAAAAGTATTTCGACTGTAAATTTTGAAGAAATAAGACAAATAGATGCAAATTATGGAATGATATTTGTAAGAAACTTTCAGCCATTATGTTTTTAATGACGAATTATGATAACACTAATTCCTTTAATTTTTAAGTCATTTCCGCCAGAATTTAATAAAGATCGAACTCACGTAATGTTGGCAGCACGAGCACCAAATTTTGGTATTGGATTGATGGCAATATCAATTAGATCAGGAGGACTGTATTCACGCGTTGGACCGGATTTTGTCTCCAGCTGCCAAAGCCCGATCAGGTCCGTAATAGGCCTCAAATCCGGTGGTAGTTTTCTCAGATCATATCCTGATATCATTTTAAATCAGCATTCGTTTTGAGATTCCGAAAATCTTAGTTTATTAATTTGCTGCATTCCTAATACAATAAATCGCATCAGTATTAATTAAAAGAACATGTTGATTTAGAAAAAGTAAAAATTGGAGAAAAAGAAATTAGAAAACATCATTTCGTATTTTAAATTTTCTAAAAGATCAGTTAAAATCTTACGTTCTTCGTATCCAGCGCATACTTCTTCAACGATAAATAAAAGTGAAATAACCGTGAGCAACAAAATTTTCATGATATTGATAATGCGGCTAATAATTGTTAAAAATTGCAAGAATCTGAAACCTATGTGTTTTAAAATAGAAAGAAATGTTTCAAGCGCATTGGACACTTTCAAAAAATTGTGAGTTGAGAAGTGATTCAATAATATTGAAACTTCGAAGAGAACCAAGGAATTAAGAGAGAAAATGTTTGCTAAAATAATTTTTAAATAATTTTTTTTTGAAATAATCCTTAATTAAATAACTTTACAATCAAATAATTTGCCTGGTGATACATATTCATACATATACTAAAATGTTTCTACGCAATACAAAAAATTCATTTGACACTGTAAAATGACTAAATTTTAAAATTCATTCCAATAAGACACAAGGCTTGATGGTTTTGATCAGTTAGATCGTCCACTAACATTATATTATATTTTAGCTTCCCCTCCGTTCAAACGTTCGTTTCTGCAGTCCCATTGCATCGTAGATCAAAACCAGTTTCGAGATTCTGAAAATTTTTAAACAAGTAATTAAAAAATTCTTAATGCATTTACCCTTCCCTTTTTAATATCCTAAAACAATGTTTTAATCAGATGATTAAATGATAAGTAATCTATAATTAAAGAGAAAAAAACTTTCAAATAATACAAATTAAACAATGCTAAATCAGTTCTTGGAAGGTAAAATTATGAGCAATGGAAAAGATTGAAAAATGGCGTGGTGCCGATTGTGTCTCACTACGCTAAATCATTGAAAAGATTGTGCATGGCGGACGGAATCCGGTTTCTTTACCAAAAGTTCTCCGTTGGAAAGATTGTTGTACGGTTACGTATGACAGCGAAAAATGCTACATTTGTTGATGTTATTAATTCATTAACCCATTATATTAAATTTTGATTGTAACAATAGTGTCAATTATTGAAATAATTCAAAATAAGAGAACATACATTGGAAGAATTAATTCTGCTAGAAATATTATATTTTACAGATATATGTGATAAAAAATATTTGAAAAGGCTTAATCATTTCCAGGTATTTTAAGTAATCGAAGTAAGTCAATCTCATATTATCAACCTAAAAATGAATGATTATGATCACATATAATCAGTTAGAGAAACAGAACAACAGATTGCATATGGAAGAATTCAATTCAAAATACAATCATTCAAATTTTAATTAAACCTTGTCATCTACAACTAACAAATGAACTTAAAAACTTTTTTTTAATGAAAATCAGTTTTTCCATTTAAAAAAAAATTAAATGCGATAATATGAATGAAGAAATGTTGTAAACAAACAAGTAGCATTTCTTGTTTGGATCTTCTTAACACCTCCCATTCTCCTTTCTGCTATACCGAGCAATTGTGTAATCTCTTTCTTGTTCTTAACATCGTTACAAATACACAGCGTAACGGTGCTTTTCTTGCGTGTATATTTCTTGATCATATCCATCTTTGTTATCTGAAAAATCTTTCCATTATTTTATTGGTATGTGTTGTATGTTGCTGAAGTAACTCCTCGAGCAATGTTCAGATTCTTAATGACGCAAATTCGTTAAGCGGAATGTAAGTAATATACAAACACACATTACGTATTACGGATTTCATTCCAAGTAGCAAACGTAAAGAAGAAATGATTGTGCATGATTGGAGCTGCGTTAAATCTTGACGACAGGGCTTGGTTACTTTAATTTATTCTTTTTTTTTTTTTGCTTTCTTTCCCATCAGATCGAGTTGGGAGAGGAAGCTCAGATGTTTTCTTTTGCAATGATTTTTGGAATTTGCCAACGATATGTTTTAAGTTAATTTATTCAAGGTTTCCAGAGATTATCGTAGAGAATGTTAAAATTCAAGAATCCTTTCGGTAGCCCATTTCGAGTCGAAACAGCGGAACCAAAAAAGGAGACGATCGAAGAATTCAACTATGTTCCTTCAGCTTATTGCCAATTAATGGATGAAATGATTGGAAGGAGAAATAGACCGTGGAATGTTGATCGTAGTCCTGTAAAGCTTCATCAGGTTGGTTTGCTGCCCACTTATCTATGTATCTTTTAAATGTTTTGTGGCGAAGAACTATCAGAAAGAAGTTGAAAGAGACTTTCGAAGTTTGAGCTGGAAAAATTTGAAAAATAATGCGGTAGAAGACAAATACATCAGTTTTAGAAAGAAAACCTGACGGGAAATTAGATTCGCATAATATTAACGAACATGACAATATATCCTTTATTGCAATGCTAAGTTCTAGTATGGACAGATTAGTTTTCAGCTAAATGTTGTGTTATTGCTGAAAAAAACTTTTTCAGATTTTTACTTTACCGGAAATGACTCGTGAGGAGTTAATATTTTCTCGATTGATGGAGAATTGTGTTTGTAAGTCGACTTTTGCAGCAGTTGCTGGTTTTGGCCTTGGCGTTGTTTTCGGTTTATTTACTGCTTCTGTCGATCCGCAAGCAACTATGGCTTTTGGAACTGATCCAAGCAAAATTGTATAGTTCCTTTATTATTTTCAGTGCTGACTTCTTAAATGTTCGATTTCTCAGCTAAGTTTAAAGGACCTTAATTGCTAGGGACTGCTCAAATAGATTCCAAATAGAAAAATAGTTTGCTTAGCACCATCGTGCTGAGCAAACTATTTTATCGAAGAATCTGAATAACTGAAGCTGGCAGTATTATATTCGTTGCATTATTTGTACCATATGTGGTATTTAATAATTTGTATTAGGCTGTTGTCTTATTGATGATTGGTTAATTTAACAGAGTTAAATTTTGTTGTTTACAGCCAACGTTGAAAGAAATGTGGTTAGAGTCCAAGTCACGAATGCGTTCATATGGCAAGAATTTTGCTTCTATAGGATTTCTGTTTACGGGCACCGAATGTTTGGTGGAAAGCTATCGGGCATGCAATGATTGGAAAAATGGTACTTTAGCTGGAGCAATTGTTGGCGGTTTGATTGGCCTTCGTGCAGGTATAAAACCCGCAGTTTTCGGTGCTGGTGGTTTTGCTGCATTTTCAACTCTTATTGATTACTACATGAAATATAGATAGTGCTGACTAAAATTAGGGTGGATTCATATACACTGATTTGTAGAATTGTTTTGCAGATGTCATAAATTTATTATAATAAAAACTCTTAATGGATCTAATATATTTTAATTTCTGCTACCAAATATTATTTCACTTTGAAGATTTCAAACATCATTTGTATGCTCTTTCGATACTTCTGTTTAAAACGTAATTGAAAAATTTACTGACAAATTCTTTATTTGTTTCAAGAGTTGTTTTATTGTCCTCCATTGATGGTAGGAATTCTCATTGGTGTTTAAGCAGGGTATTAAAATTTTCGTTCAGGTATTTATGTAAATATCACATCTATATTTAAAATTATGAAACTATTTGTGAAATGCTCATTTTGTACTTATGACTACTCGATTTTTCTTCCTGTAATTTTCAAGATTTGCTTCGTAAAAAATTAAAATTTATTTCAAGTATGTATTGTAAATCAGAATATTTAACGGGTAATTTGTTTCTGTTGCTGTTTTTGCAGTGTTATTGATGTTTTTATTTTCACAAGTATCCTATTTGATTTATGGAATTTATAAGTTGTTTTAAATAAAGTTTCGAAAACTTGTGCTTTAAGATTCTGTTATTTCGATTCCAGTTCAATAGTAATTCTGCAGTGGAAATCATCCCTCGTCCTTTTTTGATTTAAATATTTATCATGCATCAAACACGGAAGTGTTGGCGAAGATCTAATAATTTGACGTTTTTTCGATTCTGTGCGGATACTAATTACGAAAATCACTTTATTTGGTAACCTTTCCGTGGCTATTTGGTATACAGGAAACTTCGGTTCATTCAATTTTCTGAAAGTCGACATTTATTTTTCGATGTTTTTTACGTATCACTAGTCTATCTTTTTAACTGTTACTTTAATGAATTCGTTTCTTTGCTTTCTCGTTCTTGATGTATTGATCAGAATCGGAAAATTTTTTCAAGATGGTTGCCGGCTTATTGGTAGTAGAAGTGAGTGCACTATTTTTCCTGACGCTGTTATTGCTGAATAAATATAGTAATTGGCGACAACAGCATTTCATTGTAACAATCTCAACGTTTATTGGCTGGTTCTTCTCTTTCATTATTATCTTTATTTTACCGTTGGATATTGCTATCGTAAGCACTTAT